CCGCGTCAGTGCCTGGGAGGAGGTCCAGCAGAGGCTTCTGAAGTAAGACTCTTGACTGATTTCTGCCTTTGACCCAGGTGGCTGTGTGGTGCAGAGCAGAAAGGGAGCGTTGGCGGGAGCAAGCGGAGTGCTGAGCCTTGCGGGCTGCTGTCCCTATTTCACAGAGCAGTTCTAAAAATTAAATAGTCTTGTAGGTAAATGTGCTTGTACAACTGGTGACATGTGAACAGATAATGTCTAACATACAAGACAAAGTTTTATCTCTTATAGATCATTTTTAGGCCTTTCTTGATGTCATAAGATAGCTCCATTTTTACAGAACAGTCATTTGTGAAAGTAAAAATCTTCCTGCAGTGTTTAGTTGGAAAAAAATACTTGGAGAGCTTTTCTTGGTGTTAAATTTTTTAAATTCTCTTTTCCTTTATGACAACAAAAACATTAACTCATGCTAAGGAGGGAACATGACATTCAAAAAGAAGACTGTCATCTGCATCGTATTTTGGTTATCTACTTGGGCAGTAGATGTTCCGAGACCAGTTAGATACATGTTAGAATTTTAAGGGATTCTTAGTCTCTGTTCTCCCATTTTATGGGTAAGATTGTGAAGAACCAGAAGGATCAAGCGCCTCACAATCAGTGAAAAGAGACTCCCCTCAGATTTCAGCCCTAGGGCTGTTGACACTGAGCTTATGCCTATGCTATCTACCACACTGCAGGTTTGAATTCATGAAACTTGGAAATTTAAGGAAATGTGAGTTTCTTGCTAAGTCTTGATGACTACTTTTAATATGTTGCTTTTTTCCTAATTTGAAAAATGTGTAAACGTTTTTGGTGCTGCAGTTAATGCAGACAGCTGGGATCGGACAAGTTAATATTCATTAAGATATTAACTGGTGTTCTTTCTCAGTGAGGATGTGGACTGGCCCGTGTGCAAGTAATCGAAAGGGAAACCTTTTCTTTTGCAGTGTCTGCAGCGAAGCACTGAGTTACTTCCTCACTCTAACATCAGAAAGTCATCGGGAAGCCTGGACTAACTTACTGCTTTTATTTCTAACTAAAGTTCTAAAGATAAGCGATAATAGGGTAAGTATAAGGCTCATATCCAGCCTGTGAGTTCGAAGCAGAAGGGATGTCAGGTCCCAGACCTGCTGCCCATAATCTCAGAGGTAGATGAAGCAGCTCCCCAGCTGCACTGCTGCCGGTGCAGGGCCACATGTGATGCAGCCCTGTCTACTTCAGTCATCTTCTGTTTTCTTCTCCTTAAGGTAGCTTTGTTCTCAAATCAGCAGTTCTCTAGGGGATTTAGTAGAAGAGGAATCAGAATCCTTTCAGGCACCTCGACAACCTCCTGAAAACTGCTGTCTAGGCACCTTTGGCCTTGCACCCACCCCCATAGTCCTGGGCCTGGGCTCCAGGCTGCAGCCGTTCCTTTGGCATATTTAGTGGCTCCATGTAACACAGAGTTTTTAATAAATGAGCCATGAGCTCATTTAAGAACTTCAAGCCAGTAAAATAAACTACAAATCTATGTTTGTAAATGTAAATGAATATTTAAGATTTTTTAAACTATACTTTTAAAAAAGCAGCTTACAGCTCACATGTAAGTAAATGGTTGGCTTTGCTGTGAATCTCAATAGGTTTTCAAATACCAACTCAGGTGGCTTAATACTTCACACTTTAGGTCCTTGGGACCCTGTGGAGGCAGGGCAGTCAGTGCCCCTCAGTGGTGTGCTGCTGTTTACCCCCAGTCACATGTCCTGTGTCCCCAGATGCATTTCCCTCTGACTGTGGGCTGGGGGAAGCTTGGAGAAGTGACTTAAGGCTGCCAGCAGCTGTGTAGCCAAGAAGGACTCCAAACCCCTGTCCGTCTTACTCCACGACTTGCTTTCTTGTCATAGTGTGTCATACTGCTGCCCCCCTTGCATCTTGTAGGACCTGAAGGGGTAGGAAAGAGAAAATAGGCAGCAGACTAGTGTTCAGGATTAAGGAAATACAGCAAAGGCAGAGTGAAAGTGTCAACTGAACTCTACGTGTGGGCCGCATACAGCTTTGCCTAGAGAATGTTTATATATGGGCTGTAACTGCACGTAATGAAGTTACAGCTATTTTATATTTGAGTAGTATTTTCCCTAAACTTTTTATTTAACAAAAGATATAATTTCAATAACCCTTATCTTATAAAAAGTCAACTCTAGTTCTTGCTCTGCTTCTTTCTTTTGCTTACTAGCCAGGAAAAACATGGTTGAATTACTAAAAGTTTGTCAAAGGCATGTTATGGGAAAATGTATTTGTATTAAGTGACTCTTTTGAGAACGTCTCAGTCTCTCAGTTTTGTAATCCATAGAATGACTGCTTGTCAGGGCCTCTGCCTTTCCTCCCTCTCCATGCACACAACCCAGGGTTTGACGTAAAGGCAGTTTCAGGCTCTGTACTTTGCAGTGCAGGCACTACTAATGGAGAAATTCATTTTCCCCCTCCAGTTTAAAGCTCATGCATCATTCTACTACCCTCTCTTATGTGAAATTATGCAATTTGACTTGATTCCTGAACTTCGTGCTGTTCTTAGAAGATTTTTCCTGCGAATCGGAGTAGTTTTTCAGATATCACAACCACCGGAACAGGAACTTGGAATAAACAAGCAATGATGGGAACTTAATATTTTTCTGTTGGCGTTTACATTCCTTCACTCTATAAAAGGACTCTGGAGCTGAGATTTCCTACCTGAAAAATGATTTCTTCGAATTGCAGTGTCTGAGGGTTACTGGTAAAGATGCTTAGAATGATTACTCAAACTTGCAACACTCCAGTCCCTTTTAGTAACTTGGTGGATTCTTTGTGTCATGTTGGGCTCATGTTGAGCAGAAAGCATATTTAAACAGAGTCTGCTGATGTTCACGGTTCTTCCCTGTCCTCCTGGTAGGGACAGCCCTGTGTATTTTTGGCAGATGGTGGAAGTGAAACTTACCCAAAGAACTATAGATGTAAAGATTGAACTTCTGCAAGAAGTACAACTCAGGAGAGCTGTATTTTGAAGGATAAAATGTTTATAATGGGGGGGGGAGAAATTATTGTTCACAGTAAAAGATATTTAGCAACTATGGTATTCTTACTCTGAAGATTTTTGCACACTCAGGCTATCTGAGATACTGGTAATCATCCTTCTGTGAAAAATGTACAGAGATGCAGGTCTGTAATATAAAAATCTTAAACATTATATAGTTCTTCCTGCACCTTTTCTTTATTTTCTTATTCATTTGCTAAATACCCATAATACTTTGTCAAATGCACTAAAAACATTTGGGTTGAACTTCGTCTTTTTTATTTTGTGGGGAATTTTAGTTTTACCCTTTTTAGGGGGTGGTAATTTTGAGGCTTTAACATGCCCAGGTGGTATTATGGCTGGTATGTGTCAAGATCAACACCAGGAAAGAAGGTAGAAAGTATCCCACTGACAAGAACTACCTGTAATATATACTTCTCTTAGGGCTTCTAAAGATGAGCCATTAAAATAGAATGATCCTTTGCGGACCGAAACTTGAATCACTGAAAAATGAATCTCAGTTGTGTCAATTCTTTCTTTTCCTTTGGGTGGTGGGGCTTGATGTAGATTTTACTCTATGTACAGAATTTAATGTTGAATATATTAAAATAACAAATCTGGCATGGTTTGCAGAGGTTAGATTTACTGGAAATGTATTCATACTGTGAATTGTGCTCTGATGGTTAAAAGACAAGATTGTCAAGCATTCCGTACTAATAGTGGATGTAGAAAATTTTTTCAGATGGATAAAATGTATATGGTACAGATGTAAAGTTTTCTATGTAAAAAATTCTGTACAACTTTCTGTACAATATTGATTCTCATCTGGCATATTCTAATCAGGTTATAGGTCAATAAAGTTTTTGAATTATTTCACTAGTGCAATCAAAACCTGGGTAACCCACAGCCCCATGTTTCATTGATTCTTTCCTGTTTTTTCATTAAAAGTCAAACAATTATAGAAAAGACATTTTCAGCCAGAATTACAAATTGGGGCTTTGGTTCTGATTCTTTGGTTCTAATTTTTCTTTCAAGCTGCTTATATCACATCATCCCTCATATTCTACTTCCTTAACAGTATTTATAGTTTTTTCCTACATTGTGCCCAGCATAAAGCTACACTATTTGAATGCTAAAAGGAGCTGAAGTTCCCTTTAGGGCAGTTGGTTATGCTATTGTGTGGTACGTGGCATTAAAAAAAAGGAAAAGTATTCAGTCTTTGCTTAGATAATGAACAGTTATTTAGTGATGCATTTATAAGTGTACTAGATTTTTTTTTTTTTTTTGAGACAGAGCCTCAAGCTGTCCCCCTGGGTAGAGTGCCATGGCATCACAGCTCACAGCAACCTCCAACTCCTGGGCTCAAGCAAGTCTCTTGCCTCAGCCTCCCAAGTAGCCAGGACCACAGGCGCCTGCCACAACGCCCGGCTATTTTTTGGTTGCAGCTGTCATTGTTGTCTGGCAGGCCCCGGCTGGATTCGAACCCACCACCTTGGGTGTACATGGCTGGCACCTTAGCCACATGAGCCACAGGCACCAAGCCAATGTACCAGATTTATTACCCCTAAGACACAGCTTGGTCCAAGCCCGGGGAGCTGGCAGCCATGGTGACTTTCCTGTCTAAGGGTAAGTGCTTTCACACCACTTGCCAGTGTATTATTTAGTGGTGTAGTATCAAGATGCTGCCTAGAGGAGCCAGAGGCTTTTCTTGTTAGATGGAAGAAAAGAATTCTTTAATAGTAAAACAAACAATGGTTAAATTAAAAAAGCGAGTATAGATTTTATATGTAGCCCCAAATTAGAATATCACATTACATTGTGGCAAACTATCTGATCTTATTTACCATTATGTCAGAGGAAGCAGGGAAGCAGTGTGTGAGGGTGTTCCCAGTTCTCACAGTGCTGAACACCCTAATCCAAAGTGGAATGAATCGTTTTTAAGAAGTATCATTTAGAGTGATTAGAAAATTGACTCACTATTCCATGGTGGTGGAACAAAGATTCCAGTCTCTGTTCTTGACCCCTGGGTATTCTTACCTCTCCTCCTCTCTTCAACCTCTAGAAACCTAAAAATTCCAATTAACATAAGAAGTCGACATTGGTTAATAAAAGTAAAAATTTATTTCTATCAACAAGTAGTCAAATCACATAAATTAATAACTTTAAGACAATGCGTTCATTGGCACAAAAGTAGAGACAGAAAGATGTAAATTTAGTGTATGGCTCACGAGAATAAAACCAATTACAGTTCCCATTATGTCTGTGGAGTCAGTAGCGTCAAGTGACAGGAAAATTAAGGAGCACATTTGATTCTTTCATTACGTAGCAACTGGGATAGTCATAGTAGCTACAGCATGTGTAGACACTAAAGAGTTATCTTCAGTAGATAACAGTGGCAAATGTGCGTGTGACAGAGGGTATTCTGGTTTGATAGCACCATAAAGACACTTCAGTTTTATTCACCTTATCCTGATAAACAGAATTTATAATAAAATAGTGTACATATGATAGTTGAATCCAGAGTTCATTACCACTCTATGGCATAGTTGTGCAAAAATAATTCTGGCCTTCTATTTATGTACATAGCACAGAAGTGTAGAGAATTATCATTCATTATAGAATAATGTACTCTTGATTCAACTGTCATATGTGTACTATCTTATTATAGATTCTGCCGGTCAAGGTGACTAAAACTTAAGTGTCTTGACAGTGCTGCAAAACCAGAGTACCCTTTGTTACATGCAGTAATCATGGCCTTTTATTTATGTACATAACGTGAATCATATACATCTTGGAAAAATATGCTTTATATACAAATATAACAAAACTAACTTCAGGCAAGAGAAAAAGAACATATTATTAACATATTACTATTTACCATTCCTTTCACCTGACAAGGCACTACTGGGTCCATTACAGATTTATTTTAACCATGCGCAGTGGACAGGCTCTGCCAAGTGAAAGGGCCTGGTTTCCCAGGAACTTGCTGCTGTTCCTGGTCCAGCTGCTCTGCCATGAAGCGTTTCAGTGTTTCCGAGGTGCCAGGGCGGAGCCAGGGCTCGGTTGCTATAGAGTTTGAGCCGTCATCCCCCATGTGTTTCGTGATGTCATCAGGGTCAACCAGAGAACTCTCGTCCTCTACAGAAGGCAAGAGACACGTGAGTCAGGTAACGCACATGGCACGCAGGTGACACAAACACAGGTCTCCTATAGTCCACTTCCTTATGATATGTTCTGAACTGTGCTGTTTGTTTGGACCTCCCACTTTAGTGGTAGAAGCAGGCCCAGGAAAGGGCCAATTTTGTGAAACAAAAAATAACTCAATAAATCGACTCCATGGCACTAGCAACCAGAGGGAATCTAAGTATATCCAAGGAGTCTGTCAACATTAAGCTGACTGGAGGAACATGGGCAATCTTATTTATTTTGTAATGGTCACTTTTAGGAGAAACCTAGCAGGTACCATGCAACCCTTTTATTTTTTAACTCAAGCAAGGAGGTTAGGGGAAGACATCCAATCTATCACACCACTTGAGGAAATTAAAAGTCATTTTGGGAAAGCACTAAATGGAATGAAATTACCTCTATTCTTATACCTAATCTAAGAAGCCATGTCTAGTCCATTAAGCAGCAGCTCTTAATTTATTTCATCCATAAATTGAATTTGATGTACTCTCAACTTATGTATCTGTATTTTACTTATTAGGTATAATAATAGGAAAATCTGTCTTCCTACCCTGTGATGTCAATTTCTTTGTTTTTTTTTAATTCTATCTCCTGGTCTGTGAAGGATTAGCCCACCAAAGGGTTATGTGCAATCAGTTTAATGTGCAATCAATCCACATCGTACCAAAAAGCTCCTGTTTGAAAGGATGTTAAAGAAAAACAATTTAACAATGAAAACCTTGTGAAAGAGGAGATTCTTCAAATGCTCTATTTTCTTTCAAATATCTCCTTGTTAAATATAAATCTAGTGTTTTATCTTTAAAAGAAATTGAAAAGAAAATGCTTTTTAGCTATAGAGAGAAGGCATCCTTTCCCACTGTTCCACATTTTCCAGGTAGGAGAGGAAAAGTACCCTTCCACCTGTTTTCCATGTTGGCTGGTATTTGGTGTGAAATTAACAACAACAAAACAAAAACACCTTGACTGCTAGAGATTATATAAGTATCTTAAAAATTAACATAGTGTTAAAGATAGGATCTAAAAATATCTTAAGAAATTTGTCGGCTCGGCGCCTATAGCTCAACTGTACACCTAAGGTGGCAGGTTCGAATCCCCAGCCCGGACCCGCCAAACAATGACGGCTGCAACCAAAAAATAGCTGGGCATTGTGGCGGGCGCCTGTGGTCCCAGCTACTTGGGAGGCTGAGGCAAGAGACTCGCTTGAGCCCAGAAGTTGGAGGTTGCTGTGAGCGTGATGCCATGGCACTCTACCCAGGGGGATAGCTTGAGGCTCCGTCTCAAAAAAAAAAAGAAATTTGTCTACCTTCATAAAGAGTACTTCACAAATAAACTATTTGCTAATACTAATACTATTATTACTAATAAGAAACTCACATTATCCTACTAATAAGATTGATGTAAAAAGGGGCTCACGGATGGCAGAGGAGCTCACTAGCTAAGGAACCATCCTGCCTTGCGTTCCCTGACAGGCTTGCACCCTCAAATCACCAAAGTCCACTCACAATGAGACAACTAGTTTTCTTAGATTTAGAAGTGAGACTAAGTTTATGATACATGTATTACCTAAGGAACTCAAAGTCTTTAAGTTAATAATCTCTCCCTGAGTACTATACCAATCAGCATTTTCTCCGCTAAAAGTAAAGGCTGGATATATTTCATAAGCAAAAACTATTTTATCTGTTTAGAATCCACTCTAAAATAGTTACCCTCTCTGATAGAAAGAATCTGATGCAAACTTAATCCTGAGGTCTGGCATTGCCGGACAGTTAACCGTGTTCTGGGATGTATAACTCAAAGGACTTCAGGGCTCTCTTTTCATCTACCCCAACCATTAGTGACAACTGCCATGTAAATGAGTTTAAATTTGCTCTAGGGAATTAAACAGCTGTTTACCTGTATTAATAGGTTTATTCTGAAGTTCATTCAGTCTACGCATTCGCTCCTCATTTCTCATTCTAAGCTGGTCAACATTTACACTGGACACTGATTTTAAAGAGAGACCATCTGGTGGCACATCAGGACAACTGTTATCCTGCAGTTAGAAAACAGAACTTCAGAAATGGTCATTAACATAAGGTATGTTCAGAATGAATCAACACATCATCTCCTGATTAAATGTACATTGTGACAAATAAACTAAATGAAGATATGAAGCATTTATATTTTGACTCCCAAGTATACATGCATACTCAGATAACATAAATGCTGCCAGTGGGATAAAACTTAGGAATTCCAGGACACTAAAGGAAAAAATTGAAATAGTTAAGGGCTGAGACAGTCTAGCTACAGTGATCCAGTAGTGTGGTACAACATACAGACAGGCAGATAGATCAGCAGAAGAAAATTAATCCAGAAATACATTTGTCCATACCGTGTTTCCCTGAAAATAAGACACTGTCTTATATTTATTTTTTAAATATAAGAAGACACAGTAGGGCTTTTCAGGGGATGTCTTATTTTTATTAAGTATAACACAACAAATCTACATTTATTCAAATACAGTTAAGTCATCTTCTTCTGGAACCTGACAGGGGGAGCCAACCTTGTTGGGGGGGCTGGTGCTAGTGATACATGAACTCCTTCCCTGTAGTCGTTTGCATGTGCACAATAGGATGTCTGCGACTGCAGTTACCACAAACCAGCGCAAACGTCTCGTGGCAGATAAAAGGTATTCCAGTCTTCCTCACCACTCTGCGCCGAAATGCATGGTGCATAGCCACGCCCATCACTAGGTCTTATTATCGGGGTAGGGCTTACATTCGTTAAATGTAATCCTGCTAGGGCTTATTTTTGGGGTAGGTCTTATTTTCAGGGAAACACAGTATTTATGGACAAAATGCAACAGGAGAAAGAGTCCTTTCAAGAAAAGGTAGTGGAACAATCACGTCTATGTGCAAAGGAATGAACCCAAACCTCTAAAACTTGTAAGATAAATGAACTCCAAGTGAATCAGAGACCTAAATTCAAGAGAAAAAAAATAAAAAAATGCATTGAATTAAATCTTAATGATCCTAGGTTAGGCAATGGTTTCTTAGATCTAATACCAAAAGCCCAAGAAAGATTGACAAGTTGGACCTAATCAAAATTTAAAACCACCTGTGTGTCACAGGCCACCATCAGGAAAGTAAAAATCATACGGAATGGGAGAAAACACTTGCAAATCACACAGCTGATGCTGGACTGGTAGCCAGAATGTGTAAAGAGCTCTTATAGGTCAACAACAAAAAGATGACCCGATTTGAAAAACGGGCAAAGATCTCAATAGATGTATCTTCTAAAAATATATATAACTGGCAAATAAGCACATGAAAAGATGTTTAACATCATTAGAGAAATACCTCAAAACCACAGTGCTATCTCTTCATACTCAATAGGTACTATAATCAAGAAGAAAGATAACAGTAACAAATGTCCAGGATGAAGAGAAATTAGAGCATTCATACACTGCTGGTGGGAATGTAAAATGGTGTGCCTGCTTTAGAAAATAGTCTGGCTCCAAAATACTAAATTTAGAGTAACCATATAACTCAAGAATTCTACTACTATGTATACACTCAAGAGAAATGAAAACATCCAAAACCTTTACATGAATGTTAATAGTAGCAGTATTCATAATAGCCAAAAAATAAAAACAAAAATGTTCATCAGTTGTTGATAGGATGAACAAAAAGGGGAATATTCATACAGTGAAAATCATTCAGCCATAAAGAGGAATCAGTGTTGACATATGCTTTAACATGAATGACCTTTGAAAGAACAAAACAAAAAGAAGCCATCACAATTGACCATGTTACATGGTCTCGTTTATATGAAATGTCCAGAAAAGGGCTATCTGTGGAGACCAAAGTAGACTGGACACTGCCCAGGGCACCAAGTAAAGTTAGTGCCACCATAAAGCTGCCTACCCAACAAGGAACTTGTTGGGACATGTAGTAGTTCAAAGACTCCTTTTTACGGGCTACGTTGTAAAGCTGTGGAGCAGAGTGAAGAGAAGATGGGTTTGAACCTCTGCCTTCTTGTCTATATTACCTTGGGCAAATCATTTGACCAAAATGGAAATGATGCCTATATTGCAGAATGAGGTTATTATGAGGACACAACAGGCTTTCCAATAAATGGTATCAGTTATTCTTGTGTCTTCTCTGAAATTCATATATTCTTGGGATGCCAAGCTACTTACAGCTACCCCAGGAGACAAGAAAATATTACATCAAAGAAGTTGGGGCAGTAGAGTTCAAAGAGTTTCCCAATATCGCCTCCAGCTGACTGGTGGTACAGGCTAGATTCAGCCCATGTCTACTTCAAGTAAGCGCTCACTATTTGCTGGATCACACAAACTTAGCATGGGTCAGAATCCAGACCTCTCATTCTTCTAAGCTGAAAAAGGGGAAAAAAGAAAAAGACATTTCATACTGCAAAGTCCAGTCCTTTCAATTTGTTTCTCCTGCGCTCCCTTGCAGAGGGCAGCTGTGATGGTGGAGGGAAGTCATCATCTTCAATGGCAGGATATGTCTCACCATAAGCACCTAAAAAGGCCACAAAAGGGGACGTCGTCTTAAATTTACACCATTAAAACCTTTTACCCAAAGCTAGCGCAAGAGCCTGGGTTTTTTTTTTTGTTGTTGTTTGTTTTGAGATAGAGTCTTACTTTAAGAGCCTGTTTTTTAATCATACACTCACTGTAAATGTACATAGTTCAGCGATGTTTAGTAAATGTAAAGTCGTGCAATCATCATAACAATCAACATTTCTATTACCTTGAAGAGCTTCCTTATGCCCACTTGTCAACTACTCCCAAGTCCCACAGGCCCGGCCTCAGAGACTGATCTGCTCTGTCTTTACCTTACCTAACATTTCACATAAATGGAATTCCACAACACAACCTTTTGTGTCTTTTCATTATCTGTGTTGTACCATGTTTTAGGAGTTTATTCTAGTTGAGAAGAATGGACAATCTTGACAATGTTGAGTCATCCTGCCCAGGAACATAAGAGTACCTCTGCATTTATTTAGTTCTTTAGTTTCTCTAATCAGAGTTCTATAGTTATACTTGGACAAATCTTAACACTTTTTTTGTTAGATTTATACTTCATTTCTTTTGGAGGGTGCTAATGTAAATAGTGCTGTGGGGGGAGGTTAGGTTTTGTTTTGTTTTGTTGAGACGGAGTTTCACTCTGTTGCCCATGCTAGAGTGCCATGGCCTCAGCATAGCTCACAGCAACCTTAAACTCCTAGCTTCAAGCGATCCTCCTGCCTCAGCCTTCTGAGTAGCTGTAACTCCAGGCCCCTGCCACAAGGCCCAGCTAATTCTCCTGTTTTTAGTAGAGACAGGCTCTAGCTCTTGTTCAGACTGTTCTTGAACTCCAGACCTCAAGCAATCCTCCTGCCTCAGCTTTCCAGAGTACTTCTGTTACAGGCATGAACCACCACGCCCAGCTAGGATTGTGTTTTTAATTTCAAATTCCACTTGTTTACTGCAGTGTATAGGAAATTAACTTTTATATATCC